CTGAGAGCTGCAGCGTGATGCAAAGCTCGATGATTGTTAGATAGTGGCATAACCACAGCCCATTTTCGAGCCCGTATCTCATCACGCTTCCTGTGAGTCAAGACCAGCCATCAGTGGCAGACAGTCACATTGCACAGGAAACCAAACCGAGATCCATCCCCTGTTAAATCTGTCAGCGCCGCTATGATGCACAATCTGCACGCCAACCTACGGTCCCGCGGTGTGAGACGAGATATGTTCTTGCTTTAACAGAAGGCTTTGAAATACGTTTGCTTGCCGAAAGAACAAATGAAAAAACTGACATTAACTTGTCTCGGATTCAGACAGACAGTAAATCTAGTGCAGGTGTGCCACGTCATGTATAGTTGATTGCCACTCTATAATTTTACACCTCACCACCTGTACTTGTAATATCATTGATGTGTTTCCACATTGACTCAGCTTCTGCATTTTTAACTACGATACTCCCGACAGCTAAAGCAGTGTGTTGACCGGTGCCCATTTAAGTCTGTTTTTGCATAACGCTTGGTATCCCTTTGACCTCTGACATGGTGAACACAAGTCTATGAATGTTGATTATTCTACTTCTTATCCCTTTAATATTCTTACCAGATACTACTGGTCGCAAATTGCTGAAGCCTGTCTGTCCCATTTCCTAATCTACATACAATCAGAGCATCTTGTGATTCCCTTCACTGCTCTATGAACCTGTGCAGCTGTTCAGACCTCAACCTAAAGCAGGTTCTGCTGCTTTCGCATCTTAACCCAGGACAAGCAAGTGCTGCACATGAAAATGAAACACTAATTGGAAAAACAATATGTTCAAACATATCCGTAATTAATTACACAGAAAACCGTCACATGCTGTGAGAGAAAAAAAAGGATGGAAGCTATTCATCTAGCCTTCAAGAAAAACATCCTCGGATTAAAAGGACATTCCTAGTATTATTCTGTGGACTCTTCATCCTTAGCTCGATCTACAAAGTAAAAATGTGTTACAGCATTAGAAACACTGATTTTTTTTTTAATTTTCTTTTTGTAAAGAAATGGTCTAAGCCAGAAAAGAATATGAGTGGAAGTGCAAGCCAACTCTTCTTGCCAGAGAAAAAGAAAGCTTCAAAAAGCTGCAATTTGATATAATTTCAATTCATTTTCTGAACACTGTTATCTATGGTTCTTAATCTCTTAAAGAAATCTCTGAGGCTCTATGAAGCAAGTCTCTTCTTCCCTTAAAGGCATTATAATACAGGCAGTAATACTACCTTTTGCCAACCTATTAGACAGTTTTTTTCCCCTTTTGAGGGTGACAGAGGTGAAATCTACAAGGCCTTAAAAAACATCCATCAAGCTACAAAACAAAACACTTCAACGTAAAAATATGCATCTCTCCAATCTACCAAAATCACAAATGGGCCCGCTGAGGAAAACAGCCCATCCCCTCTAACTGATACCCAGATGAATCACACTATTTGCCCAATTAAATTCTAGGGTGTTGAATGTATTAATTCTTCCCTAACAAGAAGTCACGAATCACCACAGTGGAACATAAACTCTGTCTTAGACAGTAGCAAGTCGTTGTGAGTGTGGCAATGTGGTTCGTTGGTCGAGGTGAACCGACTGATCATCATTTTCTAAACAAGTCTTCCAACCTAAGCAACCACATACATAGAAACATAGCAGTAGCAGAAAAGTTTTTGTTTGGTTTAACCCCATTACCTTCAAATTTACTGACATCTATTATCCTTGGGCTCAAGTGGACCCCAAGAATTTAAACCTCCAGAAAATATCATCATTAAAATTGTTACCCACGTTTATGTGAAAATAGCCCTGTAAATAAAACAAACAAAAAAATATATCTCATTGACTTATTTAGAGATGTTAAACATTGAATGGGGTCAAATTGACCCCAAAGATAATAGGAGGGTGAAGGAAGACTTGTGGTTGTAGTAAATGAAGTATTTTGGTGAAGAGTTTGGGTTAGAGGACTTTACAGTCATGAACACACAGATAAGGTTATAAAAGAATCATGTTTAAAAATGACAACACAATCAGTTGCAGGAAATGAACAGTCATATGTTTCACTGACCCATCCATCCACCCTGACCTCCTTCCAGGACAGACATTGCGGCTCTATCAGCTGACCTCCTCCATTCCTCCTGCCATAATTTGACAGCATTTGCTGAAATTGCTGCTGCACACAATCTCTAGAAGGCATCTAAAAAAACAACAACTATGGACCATAATAAGCTGCTTCTACAAACAATCTATATGTGTTTTGTTTTGTTTTTGATGTAAGAATGGCTCCACTTCTCTAAAATGTTAACTTTTGATCTGAATAAGCACTGCTACTGGTTCCAGACCACTTTTATGTTTTGTGCTGTTTTTTTGTGAGACACTACAGGAAACTCTTCCATTCTTGCATTAGCCTTCTCAGTGCTTTAGGTTCTAAATGGTGTTCATTTGCTTCTTTTTTTTTTTCATCTGGTACATGAAATATTACAGTCAGTAAACAAGCTTGCCTGACTGTCAGAAAAGCTGTGAATTACTGGGAGGGGTTATGTACCAACCTCTTTCCAATAATTAGTCTGACACATTAACACCCATTAAACTCCAATTTTCCATATTTAACCTTTGGTTTTTGTATGAAATGGGCAGATATGTTTATTAGTGAGCTTTATATGTGATTGCAGGCACATTTTCCCTTTTATTATTATTTTTTGCCTTGGACAGAGTCACGCTAGCTGCATGGCCATGTTGCCACTCCAATGTAATGAATAACACATGTGTGTAATGCACTATACAAGCATGTGTTATACACTGAAGGTTTCTTTTTCTTTTGCATTCCATGTCTAGGGAAACACATTTACACACTACACTTCACACTATATGGGTAAGGATAAAATATGTAGTTAAAAAAGTAGCTCCTTGTGTACCTCCTTGAGAAATGCAAGCACACAGTGTGTAGCCTTCTCTCGAAACAGCAACTCTGACACATGCTGAAGAGCCGAGGCAAAAAAAAAAAAAGCCTGAGCTGCTGAATTTCACGAGCTAAGGTTAGGCACATCTGCATTAAGCAGGGAGCTGAGCCAAAGATTCTAAAAGGAGAACACATCTGGCAGGCAGCAGACGACAAACTCAGAGGACAAATGAGATTCATTCTAAGATACTGCATGTTTTTCAGACATGTTTCTGACCTTCATGGGAAAATAAAAATGTTTCAAGCAAGAGATGAGTGTGGAATCACTGATCGCAGACCACCCTCTGGTTAAAACGCACAATCTCAAGGAAATGATGTCCTGTATCAGTCATAGGGGAAATCAAGAAGACAGCAGACATTAGCATTTATCCATGGAACAAATCTGTTGTAAGGTTACAGCGAAGACCATCAGCAACCAAACAGTCTGACCGCAAGTCACTATCACTCAATCCCTGCCAGTTCTTCAGTTAGATTCCACCTTTCGTTGTTTGTTTACATCAAAGTTAACAGCTGCATGAAAACTCCTCTCAGTCGCTGAACCGCAACATGCAACGAAACCAAAGTAATCTACCTCGAATCAGTACGCTTTAATTATTGAGGTAATCCCAAGTATTTGCAGGGTGCAGGACCCGTGTGCAGCTCAGCATCATCTGAGCAACAAAGTCCCTGAGGCATTTCACCATTTAACATTATGTAAAGCCCAACTGACATAATGATTTCCTATGTGGGTCAGCAAAGGTCGAAAACACTTCAAAACAAACCAAATCCTCGGCTAAACAGTGCAGGTTAACAAGTTTAGTCAGTGCGCGTGGCGTGCCGCTCTGATGTTGTAGCCAGGAGTGAACTCTCCTCTGAAGTCCTTCAAACACCACAGTGCTAAAAGCCAGTCCACTGTGCGTGAGCCCACAGTGTAACTCCAGCAGAATGAGAAAGAGCCCTGATGCTGCTTCCTCGGTAGGGGAATCAAGTGCTTGTAATGCAGTCTTGTAATGCAAGCCCTTAATGACCATGTAGAGAACTAAACGCCTCTGCCAAATGCCAGGCAAAGACCACAGGTGAGGACGGGCAATCAGCAGGGGAGCTGCACTCCAATTTCTGCCACCAGCCTCCTTATCTGTTGCAAATCTTTGAATAAATGTGGCTTCTTTTTTTTTCCCTCTAAATTGCAGTGCAACATCCCCAGTCCCATCACCACTGCCTGCCTTTACAACAACAACAAAAAAAAACCCAAATCTACACATAAAGCAGGCTGGTGATTCTTTACAATATAGCCTTGAAATCATGCAAAACATTTGCCAGTGTTCCAATCCTGCAACATCCAAAACACGTCAGCGGAGGATAAAAAAAAAATATTTAAAAAAACGATGCCACCGCTGTGCTGTGCAGAACGCACTGAAGGCACAAATCTGCATGCAAATAAGAAAAAAAGGCGCAATTTGATGTCTTTTCGAGGCAACAACTTTATTATCTGTTGAGCTCGGGAGCAATCTGATGTGTGCACACACACACACACAAAAAAAGCCACGATCACCCAAATCGGCTGAGGAGTGCGCCCTCAGCATCCCCACAGTTGCTCAGAAGTAGGAGATGTCATGCATGCTAGTCGTGATCAATGCAGATGAATTAAGACTTAATACATAACTAGGGCCTACTGCTTTCTCCCCCCTCGCATCTTCTTCTTCTTCTTGCATTTCCTTTGAGCGCACCAGCGTCACGCATTTTTTTTTTTTCTTGCAGCCTGAGCTGAATCCGAGCATTATTCATTGATGTCGCTCCTCTACGACTTGCTTGGCGCGGAAGGGGGGAAAGTTGGCATGAGGCGAGCATGGCACCGATCGCCTCCATCCGGCTGCCCCTGTTAAACGGCCACATCTCACTGTCACACACGAATACCTCTACTCACTGACAGTTTTTGTGGCTTATTGTTTTGGACCCCCACGGTTTTTGCGAGAGATTCCCAACCACCACCACCACCACCTCCACCAACACAACCGCTGCGTAAAAATGACATGACAAGACTTACCGACGGCTAAATCCAGTAGATCCGCGCACAGGAGCAAGCACAATGAGAAGACGGTCATCTTTCCCTTATTTTGCAATAAATCCCAAACTCCATCTGCGTTTACATGCTCTCCGGGTTTCGGCCGTGTAATCCCCACCATTCCAGAGGTATGCGATTGAAAGGTGCCCCCAAACTATTCATGATGCAGCTCAAGTCGAAGTGGAGAAATCGCAGAAGTTGACAATGAATGCAGCATTCAGAGCGGCGAGAATCGAGCATCAGATCTACAAAAAAATAAAAATAATAGTAATAAAAAAAAAAAGGTTGAAAAAAAAATGCCTCAGTGGATGCGCTTACAGAACAAGCGGAATGATTCTTTTCGTTTTATTTTTTATTTCCTCCCTCCACGCATAAACAATGGGGAGCTTCGCTGAGCCGCGGAGCAGAGATAGGCTCTGGAAAAAACGGAGAGGTTTGGATGAAAATGTGTTCCTCTCTCTCTCTCTCTCTCTCTCTCTCTCCTCCCGCCCTCCAGACAGACGCACAGTCATTCCTGATCACTCGCTCTTTTATTTCACACAATTTTCCTTAATCCTCCCCTGGATTCAGACCCCTCTAATTCTGCCCATTAAGCCGATTTATTCCCGTTGGATTTTTATTTTTTTTTTCCTTGTGGATTTCTAAAGATACTTATATCACGAGGATGCACTGAATAAATAAAGCAGTTTAATCTAGTTGATCAATCGGTTATTTAGTGAATATTTGATAAGCATGTCTAATTCTGTGCACCCAATGGGGAATATAGATATATATATTAAAAAAAAGATAAAAATATGAATAGGTTTGCAACTAAGTTTGCATTCATCCAGCAGGACTTGTTACTGACACATGCTGTGATTTTTATCCTCCAAACTCAGCTGGAGAGGATAAACATTAAATATATATTTTTTTGTTGGAACAACATTAAACCCATCAAGACTTATTTGAACTTTATAAGTACCTGTTTAATGGAGCTGATCCAGCTGGTTAAAGTCACTCTTCCGTTTCGAATTGGCTGCCATCATTTGTCTCATTAAAGAGCATCTATCATGCAGGCAGCAAGCTTTCGACTCGAGGTCCTGTTCCTGCTTGGCAGAATGACATCCGCATGTTCTGCAACGCTATTTTCTTACTGTAAAGTCACTCAAATCAGAAAACCTATTTTTCGGCACCCCACATGTCGGCCCTACCTATTCCTAAATATGACTATGACGTTCGCTCCAAAATCTCATCAGCATACCCCTGCTGTCATCAGTCACACATGATTTGATAAAGACTTGTGTTAAATTTAGTATCTTCCGTCAAAATGCTCATCTCCAAAATCACATCAAATCCTCGGGAGTGAGGGGACTGCAACTACTTCGTACTCTCCGAGACCAACCAAAGTTTGACAGCTGCCCCAGGCTGTGTCATTCTAATCAGCATCACCTTAGCAAGGTCAGCCTTGGTTTGCTCCTCTGTTTTACTCTGAAATGATGTTTTAAGCCTTTTGTGAAATAGTCTTCTGGGATCTATTTCCAGGTAAGTTATTCAGGAAGACAGCCACCAGCATGCCATATCCATTCACCCCCCTCAAAAAAAAATAAAATAAAAAAGAATCCTGTTGAATAAAGCCATTGGTTTCCCATTTTCTACAAAGCCGACTCAATATATCAAGACCGTATGCTTTTATTGATCTGTTCAGCGGCGAACCAGTAACACTGTTGCACGACGGGAACTCCTGGAAAGCTGTTTTCTAGAAAATAGAAATTTGGTGGTCCATATGCTCTCATTATTAAGACTCTTGTCATGCAGTGCAACAACAAACTGAAAAATGAGTTAAACAAGCTGTTCCTGGTAATACAACAACGCAAAGAGGAAAAGGTGTCCCCCAGTATATAAATTCAACCTCCGACAAACATGTAAATGCAGCGACTCTCTGACAACGACGCTCCTCGCTGCCGACTGGGTGGGGGAGGATGCTTTCCTGGTTAAGGTCTGCAGTACTAATGCACTATCACACATCTCTAGAGGGCAGTGTCAACAACAATTTATTGGGGTAACAGAGCCGAACGTGTTGCTGTCCATATGGCATCGAGCCCGCTAACAAAGAGCGGTCTTCAGTCTTGCGAGAGTCCACATGCTGTCGTCATGTACTCACTTTTCTCTCTCCACCACAGGTACGAGTCAATAAGCCTTAAACTGTTGTTTTAGCTTTTTATTTAGGATCTGAGGAATTGAGAGGAAGAAGAAACCTGACACATAGATAGACCTGACTCCATCTATGAGGATTACTCTGTCTCCTCTCATTCTTCTTGCCTTTCCAGTACTAAGGACTTGTTGCTTTGAATTACTCTTTTTCGTGATGCCTGTATCATCTCCTCCTAACTGTTAACAGTTTTGTGAGCATATATGGTGTTGCTGACTGTCACTGCGGATCAGTTATGTACTCAGTATTAGTCACAACTGTAAAATTAAACTTTAGAAGATGTAAATCCTT